TTCACACTCTGTACCATTACTAGTACTAGAAAAGGACATGGAGAATAGCTAACTTTCCAAAACCTTATATGATAAAATCTTCCTTAGTTCCCCCTTTAAATCCTGTGAGCCCAAGCAATGCTGCAATTCCCTTGAAGCCTTCATCCTTGTGATATATTCAAATAAAGCATTCTTATTCTGTTTGAGACATGCAGCTACTTGGGACTGTAAAAAGCTATATTGACTTCTTAATTTTCCTCTTGGTTGTTCACTGCCAAAAGGCAGCACCGTTATCATTCACTGGTGCATTAGAATATATTTTCTAACAAAAAAAAAAAAAAATAGAAGGACTACAGTGGTAAAGCAGCAGCATCTGGAAAAATCAAACAATGTGAATTAATACATTCTTTGTGGGCTGAAGGAAGCAATGGAGTCAAGGAAGGCCTTTGGATGTTATGTTTTACAATATCTCTGGAGGCCCAAGCCCCACTGTAGGCTGTTTTCTTCCTGCCTTTAGACAAGCTGAAATTAACTGATAATAACACACAATTAAAAGCGCATGTGTGTGTCTGTGAAGGTGTGTGTGTCTTTGCTCTAATTCCACTCCTTCTGTGCATTTTAACTTTCAAACTTTCAAATGGTGGTGAAGAGGAGACAGACAGGTATACATAGCAGCCACATCAAAATCTTGGTGGGGCAGGGGGAACATTTGACACCTCCTTGTTTCAATGCCCCTTGTCTGTTTTTAATTTCACTAAATCGCTCCCGTCTGGGGATTGTATATTTTCAGTGGCCTCTCCCAGCAATGCAGAGGTAGAGTGTTAGTGTGCCAAACCCCAGCTATGCTCAGGCGTGGGGCTGCAGATTTGCAGGAGGTAAGAGGGGAGTCTGCTCATGGGACCAGCCATTTGCCCAACTTAACTCAGGTCTTTAAACGATGCCAAGAAATCTCACTTGCCCTTTTCCCTTCACAGTCATCTTATGAGGGAAGAGGTGGACAACCTGGGTAACAAATGGGCTAATAATCTTCTCACATTGCAGCTTTGAAAGTATAATCAAGGTCTGTGTGTCTGAAAGATCCCCTGTTAGCAAGGGGGTATGGTACTGCAGTTGCTGCTCAGGACAACAAGGATTATGCTGGCTTGGGTAGGGGGATTCTCTTGATTTTAAGAGGCAAGCAGGATCTGGCCTTGAGCACCTCCAGGAAAAGGAATGGTTTGGAAGGGCAATTTGAGGAGGATTTCACTGGACAGTTGTAGGCATGGTGGAGCCTGGACTCCCTGTTTATTGCCATGGAGGCAAGTGAAGGTTTTGCTTCTTTTTTTTTTTGAGACAAAAGCTCTGACTCAACACAGAAAGCTTGTCCAATCTTGGAAGGAGCTGTTTCATAGCAAGGAAAGTGAGCAACAAGACAACATTAAACAAAGGAAAAAGAAGAGCTCCTCAGTCACCTGCTCCGAGGCTGAGCAACACTATCATGGGGCATAACCCTACATCCCTCCTCCTGTGAGTAACTCACCCAAGCAATCCCCTCTCAGGCACTGAACACTGAACAGTAATTTCAAACGGTTATGCCTGAGCAGAAGCCCTTCACACATGGACACATATCAGGATGTAAAGCAAAGCCATTCCCTCTAGTACTAGTTTGCACAACTCACGTGCATTCATCTGCTTGCGCATGGATAGGGGCATGAGACAAGGTCAGAGTGAAGACTGGGCAGACTCCAAGGCTGTGTGGCTGCTGGGAGGGTTGCAAAGCTCTGCAAAATAACCCTCAAGATAAAGCTAGCCAAGACACATCATGAATTACTTTGACCCACTGTATCTTCTCCTGCAAAGAGCAGGATTTGGCCTCAATACAGCAAGGAAGCTGAAGTGGTAATAGGGTGCTTTGAGAAATCACATTGTGCCATTGCATGGTCCTGAGGATGCAATGAATGACTTACTCAATAGGCTAGTAAGACTGTGAAAAGATATCTGAGCTTCTTCCACTAGAGTTTCATTACATGAATGCACACTTCTTTGAGATCGGAAAGATTTTTTTTCCTCCCCTACACTCACTGGGTTTTCTGTGAATTGAGCATTACAGTGGCTTTGACTGTAACCATTATAATCATTTTCCAGTGCTAATGTTGTGGTTTTAATGAAAGGAAACAGCAAATGGTGTATCGACTCATATACACAAATCTGTACTTCATTTGCACAAAATAGCTTCTGGATGGCTTTCCTCCATGTTTTTGGTCAAAGCCACTCTTTTTGAGAAATGATCAATGTCTACAACTGTTTGCTCTTCCACAGATAAAGCAGATGCTATTCATTACTGCATTTGCCATGCATATATTACTACTTTCCCCAAAGCAGCCGCAGTGGGTCATGTGTTTATTTTTCTTTAAATCCTTTTGTTCTTAAATCACTCCACTTTTGCTTTCAGGATATGATGAATAATTAATGCTGTAGTAGCAGCATTATTGAATTAGGAAAGTCACTGGCAGCTTCCAAAATCATTGAGACAACCAACAAATAAACACAAGCCACTTCTTTAGACTTAGATGTAGTGAAGCAGTGCAATGGTGTTGAGATAAGAAGAGGCCAGGCTGACCTTTAAAGCTGTAGGATGGACTTACTGTTGCCCACATGTAAATCACAGCAGTTCTGATAGCAAAGCAGATATTTTGAAAGATTCTGCAATAAATAATAATGCTAAGGAAAACTAAGACCGGGTATGGGTATTTGGAGGGAATTCTGTTCTACAAGAAGTTATATGATCATAAAGAAAAGAATTATTCATGATTTTATGGTTTAGGATTATTTAAAGAATAGAGATTTGGAGTTGATACCTTTCAGGTGGGTGTTTAGCACCTCCCAGGGATTACAGCCAGCAGCATGAGCAACAACTAACCAGGAAAGGAGGGAGATTATAGATTTCCAGAGTAACCATTTGCAGTTACCACTGCAATATCTGGTTCGCAAGCAGAGTTAGCCTATTGGTGATACAAGAGAATGTAATATGGTAAGATTCCAGTTAAATGTGAGTTTGTGTCAAACAGGAAAGCAAGAATAAGTTCATTTTCCTACATTCATATACAGAAGGTTTCTACTGGCTTCCTAACAAGGCCCTTCAGGTTTTGATGTGACCCTGTCCCTCATGTATTTCATCACAGCACCTTGGTGGACAGCAGAGCCAGGGGTCAGGCAACCACTTGCACTACTGAACTTTTAAGGTGAGAAATAAGCCCTAGCATCTCCAGTTGTCTCAGCTGGCAATCTGAAGGGCGGAACCTCTATGGGTATGGCACTGCATGTTTATTGACAGCAGTCATAATTATGGCTTTCCTCACCTGGGGCTGTCCTTGAGCACACTGCAGGAATGCCTGATTCTTCTCCCTGCAGCTCTGTTTAGGATTTCTGTGGTTATCAAGAGACTCTTGTTAGTGACTTCTGTGTACTCTTGAAAATAAAGGGTCCCTTTACTGAGTGCTGTAGTGCTATATACTTTCCTGGCCTTAAAATATTTTTTTCATTTTTCATTGACTTATTCCTTTTTGGGGCTGGGTAGGAAAAATGGTTTCCCTGAAGGGTGAAAGATCTCACCATTTCAAGATGGTCCCTGTTGCTGTTCTACTTCAGTATGCAATTAAGGCCTTTTAAATAGGGCCCTCTCTTAGTACTCACAGACTCTGTTGAAGAACTGTGTAAAAACCATTTCTAAAAAAAAAAAAGAATAGTAGTCCAGGATCAGCTCAGTGTGCTGGAAGAGAGTGGGGTGCTTTTGCTCATTTTCCTGGTTGAAGAAGTTTCACTATATACAGGTAATGACATGTCAGTCTGGGAAGAGACCTGTGCTTCCATCGGCTCCTCCCAGCATGGTGATGTAATTCCTGGACTACCAGCTCAGGTTCTTTGATTCTCTTGCCTAATGATTGTCTTGGAATCTGTGCAAATTGGAGTATCTCCAACAGGAAAAGCTGTCATTTTGAAGGAGCCAGAAGCCCAGAACCCACCCCAGCTGTGGGGTGCTGATTTCCATGCTCCTGGGTCTGTTTAAGGAGATTATAATCCTACATGTGGTCTGCTGTTTTGGATCTGAATATCCTACTCAGGGAGTTCTGGCTGCCCTAAAGCAGCAAATGAAGGTCTCTGACCAGAAACTCATTGAACCCATGACCATCTTACCATTGAAAGTTCTGAGTTTGACAAATCAGCATTTTCTGATTTGAGGACTTTATTTCAGAGAACGTCCAGCCATCTGTGTTCCCTGTCCCCTTTACCTGTAGATCTTCAGATTTCTCTACCTGCAAGTCTTGATTTTTCTAAGAAGTTTTCATTAAGCTCATTCATGGAAAATTATTGGAGACTACTTCATCAGCATAGGCTCTGCCTTTGTTTTCACCACGCTTTTGGTCAGCTTGAAGCTATGCTCACCCAGGTGCAACTCTGGAGAGTTCTCTCTCTTCACCCCCCAGCACTGGTAGGAAACAAATTACTAAAATCCTTGACAGAAATTATACATGTGTTACATCTCCCCAGCTGAACAGGTGTACCTAAGGTATTATGGGGAGAAACTGGAGGTCCCTTCCATGGGATTAATTGTGGGAGGGCAGAAACTATCATGGGTAGAGGTGAAGAATAGCCCTGGCCTCTTGAAAACCGCAAAAGCCATAAAAGGATCAATCAAAATCTTTTCCCATAACAGACCTACCCACCTTTCCTTTATTTCCTCCCCTCACGTGGAATAACTGGTATCTGGAAGCCTCCGCTCTTCTTGTGCTTGTGTCAAAAAGAGGGAGAGCAGGAGTCCTGCTAGAGCCAGCAGAATTCAACCACATTCACTCCCTCACTGCTCATGCTCACTGCTTTTGATGGTCCAGCTAAAGAAAATCTCTGCAGATTTTTTTGTCCTCAGAATGAAACTTCCCACTGCTAGCCTTGGGAGACACAGAACATCCTGGCTAGGCAAGAACTCTTTATGGATATTTCTAGTGCTCAGAGGGAGAAGGGGAAAAAAAACAAGCTACAGCAAGTTTATGGTAATTACTTTAATGAGGCAAAGCCCTTTAGAATGCAAACATACTCAACAATACACAAAGAAACAATCAAAAAAAAGTGTTTTATACAGGCTGTTTTATAAGGAGGTAATAAAAGCAATTGTATGGCACACTTGGTTGCATAAACAGGCTCACCATGGAAGGTGTTTGTGTGAGAGCAGGACTATGAATACTTAATTGCTTTCATTATTCTTATTTTCAGTACAAAATACTGCAATCAAAACTTAATCTGTGGCTTGATTTTTAAATAAAAAGGTTATATTCCAGTTCTATTGTTGTAAATATAATAAAATGTGGTCTTTCTGTTAAACATAGTCTTTCTCACTGCTTGTAAACAGGTATAACAGTGATTAATATCTGCATCTCTGGCAATTTCAAAATGTTTTTCAAAGGCAGAATCGCTATTTCTCTTCATATGGAAGGAAGAAGACCAAAATGCTCAAAAGGTCTTCATTAATGATGTGACTAGAAGTCATGAAAACCTTTGGTGAGACCCTTCTATGGCTGCTAATCCTGTTTGAACCAAGCCCCAAAAGCAATGCAGATTTCAAATATATTCTCATTCATACATCTTTTCTGACAAACACAATGAGTACAAAGAAAGAATGTAAGGAAACATGAATTTGAGGACCTCAATAAGTTGCAAAGTACAGAACTGAAAAAATGTCACCCATTTTCCCTTACCTCTCAGGAGAGTAAATTACTCAGACAAAAGGGTTGTATGAATTTGAATACAATATGGTGTGTCTGGAATGTTATATTCTGAATCTAGCGATTTTTTTTAAATATGTGCTGGTACATTTGTGCTTTAGTGGCATCTAGACCACAGTAATTTTCAAATACTTAGACATAAGAATTCATTTTTATTTCCTCTGACTTTTTGCTTCAGGAAGAAACACAGAACCGTCAAAGACCTGTTGTGCACATAAACTAAGTGATAGGTCTGGAAAGATTTAGGGAACAAGACTGTCTTATACAAGAAAATGAATATCTGGATGAAAAGGAAATATACGCATTAATGGTTTGTGCTTTAGAGGCTGAGCACATTGCTGTGAAATAACATACCAGAGTGACACCAGAAAGGCCAGAGTCACTCTCAGTGAAAATGAGTGTTTCTAGGAAAGAAGTGATGATTTCTAGTTTCGAATTGATGGCAAAGATGACTTTAAATTTGATATCTTAGTTTACCTATTTAATTAAAAAGAATCTTCTGCTAAAACATACAGAGAGAAGTAGCATTTTTTCAGTTCACTGGGCCTATAATAATCTTTATTCTTGAAATTGTCTGACTGTTGGACTTTCTGTTAGTGCTACAGAACATCTGCCAAATAGGAAATGTCATTTTTATTTTCACCTTTCTCGTCATTACAGATAGCATAATGCTGTCAGGAATCAAAAAGGTACCATTAAATATTTCCTGTTACATAACTAATGCCCAAAAACATTTCCCATGAAGCAAAAAAAAAAAAAAAAAGGCAAGGCAGAAGCTCTCATTATCCCTATCCCAGGGAAAGTATTTTAACACTTTCCGTCTCACAGTAGAACTACTGCCCAGGAGAACAAAAGACATTTAACTAAGTTGGTGAATATTTTAAACCACCTAGGAATTGTATGAAGAATATAGACTTTCCTATAACTGAACTCTGATCAGCTCCCACGGCTTATGGCAAAATCAGCCTTTCAGGCATTTATTTGCAGGGTGTTCAAGGGGCCAAGAATGTCCAAGGGGCCAATCAACTGCTGACCTTTCAGCAATGTATTCTTACCCTTTTCTTAGATGTCAAAACCAAATTGTTTGCTGACATCTCTCAGTCTTCAACAATTAAAGGCAGGACAACATATTGATGATGAGCACACGCACATGTATGTGGTTGCATATATAAGAAGGAATTTTACATATTTATAAGGAAAAATTAATTTTCAAATTGAATCAAAAATATACAGGAGAAATGTATATATATACATATACACATATATATACATGACTGAATGCTTAAAAATATTTTAAGAATATATATATGTTTGTATGTATGCATTTCTGCAGGCCAAAACAGCTTTGATGAATTAAATAAACATCTTGATGTGCTGAACAGCTCCTTTTAAGCCAGGCAAATTATGGTTTCTAACGTTCTAGTATATGTGTCTGATTAATTTAGTCATGAAAAGAACCAATTGCAAAACAAAGATTCTACATGTACCATGATCCCATTGGACTCGTTTCTCCTAGCAAACAACTTAATGATGGTACTCAAGACCAAACTTTTGCTTACAAAGTAAATGGGTTTGGATTAGCAATTGTGCAGAATGATCTAGCGCATTAATCTGAAATTTTCAGAAGGAATCTAGATCATGCTTTCCTCTTAGCATCCAATTCTTCAAGAATTAGAAAGCAAGTCCTCAACAAGAAATCCAAGCACACCAAAACAATTTATAATACACTACAGAAGGAGGATTGAAAAGACAAGTCATTCAGTCTGATGAGGTTGATGGGTGTCTGGAAAAATGCTGAATGTTGTCTCCTATCAACAGCCTTCAAGATCAAGGAGACTAGCAGAGGCAGACTGAAAACTAGTCACAAGCTAACATCTGTTTTAAAGGACATGTGAAGAACAGCCAGGAATGAGCCATGAGAAACTTTCAAACCAGTCCCTCAAACTAATCAGAGAGGCTTAGTGAGATGCCACCATATGATTATCTGACTGATCCTAAATGCATTGACTATAAGATCATAAAGTAGAGTTTTGCTAGTGTATGTTTGTCATCATAGAGGAGTTGTCAAATTTCCCTCCCCAATCCCTTGACAGAGGTCCCGTGTTACAGAAATCAGGCTACAGTGAAGGTAATCATAGATAAACCATGCGCTGCTTCTTTGACCCTCTCCTGCTTTGGTTTCCCCTTTTCTAATAGGAAGCTCTCTGTACTGGGAGCTCAGCTGAGTTCATCCTCCGGCAGGATATCCACCTAAGCCACCAAATAATGGTCCATGATTACCTTGGAGAAGCCTCGTCTCTCCAGGCTAGTGAACACCTTCACAGTGATGCTTACCAGTGGCACCTTCCCCTGGCGTGGCAGCTTGTCCCTGTGCTCTGGAGACGGTACTGAGAAAAATGCAAATGACTGCCACGTGCAAGCATACTGATCAGGGTACTGACTGCAAGCAGCAGCCTGCAATGATGTTGCATTTTCATTAAGGGCCTCAAAATAGCAAGAATCAAAATAGAGATGCTAGCACACTGAGCTTGGCTTGTTTTTCATTCCTGGTTATGTATGCTAGATAGTAGGTGAGATTATCACTCTCTGGATGTGAACCTGCAGTCAAACCAGGTTGCCTGATTTGGCTCTATGAGATGTAACACATTAGTGACTGTATCTCAATCACTCCTTACTGAGTCTGCACGCTGATCAAACCCATAACAAAGGCTTTACAAAGCACCATGATCCAAGTCTTTGGATGGTGTAAATGGGCACAGTAGCTATGGCCAACTCCCATTTCCAACAGCTCTTCCTCTTTACCTCTGTTTCTGTCACATTTGAATTGGTAAAGTTGCTTACTGAAGAAAAAAATAAAAAACCCGTTTCCTTTGAAAAAATGCTGCCCAAGAGCAGTTTACATCATGTGCTATCTGGAAGCTATTCTGTGAAACATCGTAATAATTGCTTTTCCTGGACTGAGACACTTATTAGTAGCAGCTAAAGTTAACAAATTGGAAGATTGCCTGAAGATGATGGATGGGTTTTCTCAGATAGTAGATTTCTGGTCATTTTCCATGGCAGCTGTAAATTTAAAAATAATATAAAGTTAAGCAGTGGTAGGAAAGAATTAACAAATATTACACGGCTACTGACTTGATCATTAGTCATCCTAAATTGATGCTAAAATGTTACATATGATGAGCCAAACATTGCCCTGGGGTGTATACAGAAGTTTCTCATTGATTACAAATGGGAAATGACACATGTATGTGAACACTAAATTTAGCCAACTGCTTATTTGGGATTTTTAATTACTGCTTGTGGGAGTTGGAGACATTTCTGTTTTAGGAATCCCCTTTCATACTAGTGATCTGGAAGAGAATTATCAAGAGCCATTCTCTGATGTGTAGTCAATATCCCAAGTTGTTGTAACAATATCTCTACGTATTTTTAAAGCTGAAGAGTATTAATTCTTTCCAGAGTTCAGGAGTCATTTGATCTGCCTGATGTTCAATTTTAAGGCTGCTGCAGTGAAAAACAATTTCTTTTTGACTAGAATGAAGATTTTAGTCCACAACCAAAATTCCTTTTAAGCTAAAACATCATTTTTCATAGACTTTGTCCTAATTTACCCTGTTATTTTTGATGAAGTCACATCTTCTTCGGGTGAGTAACTAGCGAGGATCTGGCAGAGACGTGGAAAAAAACTCAAACCAAAACAACCACATCTGACACAAATGAAGAAGTCTTGCACTCAGAGATACCATAATGATTCCTCACCTCCTCTGCTGAATCTGAAGGACAGAAAACTTGAAACAGCCTCGACAAGCTCATGGACACACACAGACCTTTACCTTGTGAACATCTAACTCCTCTCAGTTCCTTTTGCACTTACCTAACACTGTTATACTAATTCCTTAGGCATATTTATGCTATACATGTTGCTAGTATTCATATATGTTAGCTATAGGACATTGCTTAGCCTTATATTTAATGTCTTTCAGACTTTAAGTATAAATACTCCACAGTAGTTGCACTGAAAACAACTTGACTTGAACGCCAACCACAGAATATTGTTAGCACCAGGTTTTCTCAGGGCCTATTTACTTCTGTTTATCCACAGGATTTGGTAATAAATACATGTATTTCAGGGCTTTAGGTACATTAAACATACTGAATAGTCAACGCTTGTAGAAGCTAATTTCCCTGTCATTGCATTATAGTTAAATTGGTTACGCACGTCTCATTCAATTATGCAACTTGGAGAATACCAACAACATAGGTTCCTGATTTCAATAGTGTATATGCTGGTTTTAGCACGTACAATGGATCAGCTTTTAGCATGAGACACTAAACTCATCATGCTTTGAATTCCGGAGTCCCAATTTCAAATGTAATACTGTCTTTGTGTGTGTGTCATTAGTGGCTTTTCTTTTTATGCTTTCTGGATGTATACTATAATATTTAGTACAAATCAAAGTGAAGACTGGAAGGTAACTCACAATGGATATATGCAGTTAAGCATTTACACCAGCAGATTCTTTATTGATATGAGCTTAATCGAGTAGTTATTCAACCAGTAACATAATGTGCACAATAGTCAAATAAACTATTTGCTGTTAAATCCTGATGTAGAGAAAATGCCACATATACTATCAAGTCCCTGAAATGGGACTTCTTTAATGGTATTTGCTCTATGTGGAAGGCACTCTGGTACTACAGTAGTACAGAAGGAACAAGGATTCCTTGGAAGGGTTAAATTAATATTCACATGAACTGACATACTATTATGATTTTAGCATTTTGTAATAGCAATAAAACACATATCAAATCAATTAAAAACTGGCTGACAGATCTCAAAAAAATAGGCATCAGCTAGGATTTGTAATTGAATTAATGTTCCTAATGTTTCCTTGACTTCCATACGAGACTTCATATTCCTTAGCACCTTCACCAATGGTCTTGTAAACATGTCCCTAAATACAATCTCTGAATGACATGAGTTTGGCAGGATGGCATACAATGATGAAAACTGGACAATCAAACAGAAACCAGGAATGGTACAGAAAAGAACCATAAAGTTATTCAAAGAAGAATTCCTTGCAGTGAACAAAAATCCAACAAAAGTATAGAGAGTTCCATGTTGATTTTGTCAGGAGGAAGATGGGAAAAGGTGAGCTGTACACATAAGAGATTCACAGCAGAGAAATATCAGGTAAGAAAGGACTCTTCCATCCAGCAGGAGAACCAAGGGCTGGAAACCTAAGCCACACAGACTGAAAGTAAGTTGTCTTTCTAACAATAAACATATTTATGAGTTGGAAAAATCTTTCCAGGGATATACCAGATATATTTTATGTTCTCTTAAGTCCAAGAGGAAGATATGCTTTAGCTAAAACCAGATTTTTTTTTATATAAGAGTAATTGGAGACAGTGTAAAAATATATAAGCAGACAAATTGATCATATCCTATGAGTATGAATGTATGCAAATTTACCAGAGGCAACATTTTCTCATCTGCCTGTGGTATGCCTCATTAAGAAAATTGCTTGTTAAGAACTGTGTTCTGAGGAGGTGGATTGTCACTGTTTAATCTTACCTTAAGGGATATTATGAAATAAAAATTTTATCAAACATTTAGAAAGTGTCTAAAATACAACTTATCTTGCAAAACTGCAAGTTGCTAAACAGAGAGAAGCCCTTACTTGTTAGATACAAACCTAAGGTAGAATAGAGTGAAGAAATGGAATTTATCTCAGTTTAGCAAATATTAATAGAATAATCATGAAAATGCTGCCACCACATATGCTTGCAACTCCATATGTGCCTCAGTGGTTTTTTTTAAATAATTAGGACCATAATATATCTTCAGATACTTTCTGCTTCTATCAAATAACAATTAGTAATTGTTAGCATCCTCCCCTCTTCCATTTTGTAGCATGTTATATCTTCCAGAAGCTTGCTAAGCCAGTTACATTAGCAAAAACAGAGAGTAAATCCATTCAAAACAATGTGACTAAAAGCAGTTTGTCTTTGCATGGTTAGAACAAAAAGCTCCATTGCTGCTTTTACAGCTAAATAGCATTTTACAACGAGCTCTGAAACTTCTGGGGAAGTTGGATTACAATGTTGGTTTAACATCAGACACACCATTGTTTAGATGTAGGATCACTGCGATGTCCGGTCTCTGAAAACTTTAGTTTTCCTTTTGATATTAAAAAGACCACTGAAGTAATCTACAAAGAGCTTGGGCCTCAGGAAAGAAGTCTGAAAAACAAACACTGTTAAAGATCGGTAAGACACAATTATGTGGCTGACAATTACATGTGATAACAATTAAAATTATCTGATTCCAACCACATGGCATCTTAATACAGCAGATCTCCAAGCAAATAACGTGTCACATAATAGGTTTTGATTGATGTTGTCAGCAGCCTTTTGAACATTACAGATACCTTCTAGTCAATGCCAGAGAAATCAGTGGAGACAACTGACCTCATCCTAAACTGAAATTATTTGCTTGTACCTAAATACCCTAGCTCTAACTGCTTGGTAACCTAAAATTCTTTCTTTACTAGGTGATTAGATACTTGTATACATGGTGTCTGGCTGCTTACTTCCAGTTGTAAATAACTTAGCTAATACACGCATTTGTGGTTTTAATGAAAACCCTAGATGTTTTCTGAGTCATCGTTCAGCTACCTGCCAGTACATCTCTGGGAACATATGACAGATTACAAGCCAGATGAAGCACTCCAAACAACTGCTGAAGTTCATGTGTTGGTTGGCATAGGGGACCTAACCAGGGAGAACAAGGAGATGCCAAGGAGCTGCCACTGAACAACATGAGGTTGCTTTGCTGCCAACTTTAATTTGCGTTAAAAAAAATAAGGATGAGTCAATGATTGCTAAACCAACAAATCATCCTCCTATTGGAGGAGGCCCAGAGGACATTCTGTCTCCAGGGGTGATATACCCAGCAAGAAAACACATTGTCACATTGCCTAGAATGGGCATACAAAAAGCAGAGGGGATCGGAGCAGGAATTTGCAGTATTTTCATGGTGCCAGTCTCCACACATGTTCTTGGCTTAGCCTCCTGCTCCTTATTTTCCTCTAGACCAACATGAGGGCACAGCCTGAAAGCTGCTCTTCAGATCTGTGATGCAAGTTTTATTGTTTCCTTCTGTATACTGTTAAGTAGGAAGTGAAACATAATGTCTTAAAAATGAATTGAGGAATAATACCATACATTTGTTAGAAGGACAGTTTTTGCTACCATTGTTGTTTTAAAAAAACAACATTTTCTACTTTGGCATCTAAATCAGAATTTCAACATCACAGCTGGAAAAGCATTTGTCTTTTTTAACTAGGGCTTCCACAAACACAGCTCTCCCGCTGTAGGCTATGGAGTCAACAGCTCATTGAGAACGAAGGCTCAGTTAAGATTTTGCAACGGTTTAGATGGTGGTGTTGAAGGTGAGCAAAAAAACTTACACGTTATTCACATCAGTTTCACTGGTCTGACAAAGCATGATGTCCAGCCACAATGAAAGATCCTGCCTGTGTTATAAATATGTGGGTTTTTTAACTAAATCATTGTAACTTCCCCATTCTTTATAACAGATCACATTAGGGACGAAGAAAAATATGAAGCAACAAAACTCATGAACAGACAATGCAGTTATTCTTGACACCTCAGCCATAAATGTTTCTGTCCTGAGTTAACAGTTCCACAATGTATGCCACAGCTTTCCCTAAATGGCCTTTCCAGTGAGCTATAGTCATTTGACTGCACGATGGATGTCACCTTACTTTGAAGGAAATATACTGGATTTCAAACAATAAGAAGAATTATCTAGATGTTCCATGTTAAATTGAATGACATATTGCACTCTGTAAGAAAAATTACATTTGTTGTAGTTATGCACCAAAACTGTTAGCACCACAGGAGAAGAGGTTCCCCAGAACAGCAAAGCAGCACCTTGTTGAAATACACCACACATATGAAAACTCTCCATATCCATACAGCTCTTTCAACACTAATCAGACAACCACATTCCTTGTCCTGAACTGCAGACAACTCTCAAAAAAATAAGTCGTGTGATACTTAAACCTTACAGAGACAAGATCTCAATGTTATGCGAGAACACATCAGACAAAATGACCAAGCCGTAAAAAGAACCATTAGCAGAGTGATCAATAGAGTATATAAAGAAGTTAAATTATACAAAAACCTATGTAGCTATGCATCTGTAGAGATGCAGCCATAGTCAAATTCTCTGAAGAACTGGGTGAATAGTATGACAGAGCTAATGCATCTGATATATGTTTTCTGTGATGTCCTACTCTATACATTCAGAAGCTGCTTCACAAGTACAACATTTGTGCAGCTGAAGCATGAGTGGAGGTGATTAGCATGGGAGCAGGGCCTCTCATTTTCTTCATGCAGAGCCTAATACAAAAGGACTTTGATCTTTAGGGGGATCTCTACCACAGTGCAAAATAATGATGATGATAACACAACACTAATAATAGGTACAGATAGCAATGCTGAACCTTGAACATGTATCCATTATAAATACATAAATATTCAGCTGTCTACCATAAGAGCACAGGTCATAGACTCTTTAGCTTCATTTCTCTCCCACACATCCAAAAGTAGGCAGAAAAAATATTGAAATCTATTTATTAGTTGGTAAATAGTATCTTTTCAAATTGATGTGGCAGACGTTTAGGAAATAAGGCTGCTAATACGTTCCTAACAAATAATACAATACTAGAACCAAACAGAATATTTGGGCTGTGAAATAATCTACAGAAATAGCCAAAAACGGCAGACACTTTCTTTCAAAGCAGTACAGGACAGGCTGTGAAAAATCCAAATTCCCTGCAGTGTTTTGAAGAAGTTAGCATCTACCTACAAATCAACTTGGAGTCTCAAGTTATTAAATTATTATTCTATTGATTCTATATATGACTTTTTGGGTTTGTGTGGGGGTTTTTTTGGTTGGAGGTTTGTTTGTTTGTTTGTTTGTTTTTTCTGGCTGGTTTGGTTGGTTGGTTGTTGGTTGGTTGTGGCTTTTCTAGATTAAAGGATAAATGACCAACCTATGGCCTCTGGGCCAGTTTCCAAAGGCCAGAGTATCTTATCCAACCAACAGCCACACTTTGCTGTCCTGTTCTTCTCTGAAGCCCTCACTCACAGGGAAAAGATTAATTGCAAGCTGCTAAATTGGCAAAAAGGTAGCCAGAATCTTGGTCTTAGCACTGCTTTTGCCCAAGGCCCTGTAGCCTCTACACTAGGAATTCCATCTGTCCCAGCTCAGGCATGTCCCCACCACAGCGTGAATGGGTGATGTGAAAAGCCCTTTGATAAAAGTATGAATGAATTTCAGCCTTGATACAGGCACTACTTGAAACTCCCCATCCATTGCCAAAATAAGCATTTTCTGAAGAAAGCAGTTGCATTTTAGTTTTCAAATGGATATGCCTCTCATCGAGTCAGAGGTTAGAGCACGTGCTTCTCCCAAACCAAAAGCCTGAGATTGACACAAGGAGTGCAAAGTTCATATTTATGGAGTAAACGAAACTTGTATTTGTTGCCAGATATAATGTACCAGAACTTGGCTTTGGACATACATGTCAACAGTCTAGCGTTTTCCTGAAGTTGTATGTAGAGCCTTTCTGTCACAGTGGTTCATCCACAACGTCCATATTTCAGATGCATGCAGAAAAAGAGCATCCCTGCCCCAGGAAATAACACTCCAAGAACAGAGGAGCTAAAAAAGACCCAGAGAGTAAAACATTCAGGAGGTCAGCAGCAGTAAGATTTTCTGCAGACATGACAGCAAGAGAATGGGTAGATTGAATGTGGAGAAGGTAGTGGCCTGGTGAAAGAATTCAGGGATGCTGAATAATACCAGTGGGGCTGCATGGAAGAAGCCAAGTATCTCTGTTATTTTCTGATCAAAAGGAATCAACTGAACTCCAAACCGACTGAAAAGTGATGAGCTAGTGCTTCAGAGAGGGGTTGAAAACAGGGAGGTGGGGCTGCTGGCATAGTTTTGCTTGTCATGGTTTCATTGTTCACAAAAATTAGCAGAAAAAACAATATTCCAAAACTCTTTCCGGGCAGTTATTGATTAGTTTTCTCCCTTGGATTACAACAAACATCAACATCAACAACCCTTTTGGCTATGTTGGTCTAGAGCCCTGTTCAGGCTTTCCACGGGGAGTTCCTAAGGAGCTGTCCCACTTGATGCATGTTGAAAGCCTCTCCCCTTGGAAATGCATTTGGGCTGGTGCCTTGAAGGGACATTTGAAGTCTGCACATGCTGCTTTGCTTTTTTTCCTGATGTCAGGCTCATCATGCTGAGTCGTATCTGCAGCTAGATCATAATTTTTATCCTGAAATGTCAGCAGCTGCTCTTTTCACCCCCATATGGTGCCAGATTTAGGATGAGGTTTCCCTAATGCGTAAACAATGACTATAATTGTGGTTTTTGACAACCAAGGTATCACAGAGTAGTTATTCTTTTATAAAACCCCCTGCATTTCCACAGTTGTAATGAGGGGGTGGGTCATAATGACCCATATATTTCTTTGTATTTCTCCCAGAAGAAAGTCTATGACATAAGTGAATCCCTATCAATATGGCTTTTGGCCATCAGATGTTGTTTGATGAGGGAAAAATCGAAAAGCTTTAGCAGCTAATAGCTTCATAACTGTAAGAGCATTATTTGCCTAATTCCAGAGATGGTTGTTTGATAGAAAAAAACCTGTCTTTAACCTCTATTCTCTTAATTTAGATGCAATTTCATTGAGGTCCTCAGATAGCCTTCCTCCCTAGTGGTGCTTGAAGTTACAGGCTCTCTTTAAAAGTCAACTAAAAAAACCTGAGGAATCAGAGAAATAAAAAACAGAACAAACAAAGAAAAACCCTAGCAGGACTTGACAACAAGTCATGCAAATTTATATTTCATCTTTCATTTATAGATATACTTCAAAAGTATTTCCACTATCTATTATCTGTGGAGATAGAAGATAATAGAACAGTGTCAGTGAGAGGGCCACTGCAGCCAGATCCAGCACCTTCATTCTGTATTTTAACATCAAATAAAGCAATACAGAGATAAATGAAAGATAAGCAAGTAGAAAATCCTGTAAGGGCAAACACAGGGTGAATATGATGTACTATTTTTGAAGACTGGGAGAAGAGGCATTGAGGCTGGTGGAAGTAACCACCACCCTTCATCTGAGATAACAGAGCCAAGTAGTTCTTTGATGAGGTAATACAGGTTTCTGAGACAAGGCAAAAGTACACCCTAAATCTTGAATAATGTAGGCAGGTGGTACTGATGGTTATTGCTTTGGATAAGGGTGTATTTGTGTGTATGTATGTATAAGAAAACAAGGTAGCTGAAACAGAAAGAGAAATAAGCTCTAAACACAGCAGTAAAAGGAAGCAATCTGGGCATAAATGCCTAAAGGGAGAACTTACTGGGGGTACTGAACAAAAAAAAAAAGTCATGCTGTAAGCAAAGATATTGTCTTTGTGGTTTGATTGCATCTGCAGGCAGAGAAAAGGGAGTTGGCATGTTCTTTGCAAATAGGTGGAACTGAAACCAAGAAAGAGCCTGACTTCATCAGTGGTTTAGCTTCCTAACCAGAACAAGCTATGATGTGTGGCCATCTGTGTCAAAGGAAGGCATATTATAGATAACAAAGCAGACTAAAGGGAAGACTACAGACAAATATATCCTGTCCTGAGAAAGCTAAGGATGTTATAATGAATTAAATCTTCCTGTAATGAATTAAATTCATTACATTGTATGACTCAAAAGCCACATATACAGAAATCATTGCAAATGCAAAATGCTGTAGCAGATAGAAACACTGACACTATCTATTTTTAACTAAAAGAAACTCCCCTGAAGCTTAAACCAGCCCTCAAAAACTAGCCTGAGAACACACTATTGCTCTGCAGGACAAGAGGTTCAGGTTCAATGAGATGAAAGTGTAAGAAGGTGAGTTCCAGAACAATATTCTTCTGTGAGAACAAAGTCCCTCCAGGCTCACTATGTAGGTGCTTAGGCCTCATTCTCCAAGCTGGCTTAGACAGCTAAACCCTAATTAGGTG